AATTTCGAGAAGGCAAATAGTGGGGGAAATGACATTCCTAGAAGGGCAGATGGGCTTCAAACACAGTGTAATTATTGATTGAGATACTACTCGTAGGTCCAATAAAATCAACAGCAGCAATGATGTTTTAACTTGATGGTGTGAGTAGATACCATCAAAGAATTCCAATTCAGAGAGTGATAGAGTCCTATTCACAACAGAAGCATCTGAGTTGATGTAGGCAAGACTGTTAAAACCACAGGGCTACTGGAAGAGAAGTAAGAAATGATGGCATTCACCTTGGAAAGGGGACGCATATATTTACAGGGCTTTGTGTGTGGATGGGTGCAGAGTGTGACTGAGGGAACGCTAAATGCTAACAAGTGGAACCATCAGGACAGATAGCATTTATATCTCAAAGGTCATGAAACCCTTTAAGCTAATTATATTTCACAAAGATTTAGACTGAGGAAATAAGTTGCCCCAAAGTAAAATGTCCTTGCACAAATATGTTCATTATAGTATTATTTATAAAAGTAAATATTTGTGAACAACCGGTATGTTAATACTATTGTATGAATAAGTAAACTATTATGCAATAAGATTAAAATGACATTATGAGATTAAACAAAAAAGCTCCAGGGTATTTTAAAAGACCTAAATAAACAGATATATTTCTTGAGTAGGAGGAAGTAGTACCTTAAAAAATATCAATTTTTGGCCCTCCCTGGTGGCGCAGCGGGTTAAAGCACAGCACTGAGAATATGAAGCTGCTTCCTCATGGGTTTGGTTCTCGCCTGCCCCGGAGGTGACCACATGGTGTGGCAGACCTCTCCTGACCCACCCACTGCTCCCCTCAGCAGTGTACTTCATTGATCTGCCTGTTCTGTCCCCACTCTGTCTCTGGTGAAGCCTCTCACCGCCCCTGAGCCTCTGGCCTGTACCTCAGTTCTGTATGCACAAATAAAAATACATACATACATACATACATACATACATACATACATACATAAATAAAAATCAATTTTTCCAAATCAATATATAAATGTAATAACAAAGCCATTTGGGGGAACAAACTGATTTTATGAGAAAATAAATATATCACATTTTTCGAGAAAATTTTAAAAGAACATGATAAATTGCTTGTACTAATGGATATTATAACATACTATTTTTACATTACAGTTTTCAAAAATCACACACTGCTGACATGCAAATAGGCATGTCAAAGAAAACACAGTAGTGTTCATATGAGATATAAGTAAATATAAATGGGAACATACTACATGATATGTGACACTAGAAATCAGTGGTGATCCATGGAGTTTTCAGTATAAGATAACAGGATAGTTGACTATGCCATCAGAAAAAAATAAATTTAATCCTTACCTCATTTAATACCTAATATAAAGATTTTTAAAAAGAAATTTTAATAGTATTAAAAGCAAGACAGAAAATCCAGACCCTAATTTCGTGTAATTGACAGATATGACTAGGTAAAAATTAAAATCTTTTGTACAGTAAAACCATTATAAGCAACATCCAGGGAACAAAGACCCATTTACAATATATTAAGCAAAATGTTAAGATACATAAAAGTAAAGAAGAACTTGAAAATTAACTTTTGGGAAGATACATACCAGAGGTAAAACAAGTATAGGAATGAAAAGCCACAGCATAAGAGGAAAAAATTAAAATGTAGTAAACATATAAACTCAACTTCACAGGAAACCAGATAATTAGGAATTAAGACAGTTATAAGACATCGTATTTTAGTTTATGTTTCTGGAAAAAAAGAATGTATGGATTAATCAATATTAGCAAGGATAGAAGAAAACATATATATTGATAAATATTGTGGGAGGAGTTTGGAGGTATATGTGACTATTTAAATGTTCCTTCCCTGAGACTCAGTAATGTCCTTTCTGGATTTTTTTCTATGACATTTTAGAAAGCAATTTGGCAGTTATGTATCAGAAGTTTAGTTTTCATTCCCTTTGACCCAACAATACCACTTATAAGTCCTCTGGAGGTACATGCAAAGATAATCATGGAAGTACTTTTTACAATAAAAAAAAAGGAAATTACCAAAGATCTATCAACAGACAAATGGTAGAATAAGCTACAAATTAGGTGGCCATTTTTTAAAAAAAGAAGTAAACCTACAGCTACTAACCTAGAAGCTATAATTACATTAAGCTTCAGAAAAAGACAAGTCACAGTAATTATTACATATAGAGACATATTCACACAGATGCACAACTTTACATACTAGGAAAAAGGAAAAAAGGCCACATATGTACCAATATGTTAATGGAGGTCCACTCTGGAAAGATAGGATGAGCTGAAAAAGGAGAGTTACAATTGACATTTTACATTTTATAGACAGAGATGTTTTTAAACAGTGCTGGAATTGTGTATGGTATCTATCCTTTTATTACTTGCAGCGTTGTTCTAGTTTTTTAAAGGAAAGAATGTAATCCTCAGAGAAGGAAGATGCAGGACCAAGGTCAAAAGTCTTTGCCTGTTCAGGAAAGAACGAAGAGGAGCCACAGCAAAGTCAAGAGAGGAATGCCAGGGACAGACAAAGGGGACAAGGGGAGGCTAATGTCAAGGAAGGAGCACTCCAAGAGAAGGCAGTGAAGGGCGCAGATGTGGCAGAGAGACCTGAGGTGGCGGAGAGGGCAGCAGGGCCCTAGGCCAGGGTGCTGAGGGAAGGAAGGAGCCATTTTTCCAGCCTGCCTGTGAAACAGAGAAATTACGGCTCCCCCCAAAACCTCTTGATCAGAAGTTCTGCTGGAGGCACTCACCACAAAGCACTGCTCAGGAGATTGTGGGGCGCAGTCAAGGTTGAAATCAGGACGGCATCAGGTGCGTGTGAGTCAGGAAGCCGAGGCATGTAACAGACTAATATGCCACAATATTTGACAAATGAGAGGAGAGATTTAAATCACACAGCCACCAAAAGGGTGAGCAAGGAAGAGGTGAGGATGTCAGAGGCTGGAGGAAAGAAGGTCACAGAACAGGAGAAATTTAATATTGGAAGAAAGTGGTGAGGGAAGGAGAAGAAAAAGAGGAACTTAATGTTTTTAGACCTTTTGTTATTTGTCAGATATTTGACAGATGCTGCTGTCCCCATTATAATTCTTTCTACTGGTGATTAATAATCACTACTATTAGTTTTTGTGAGGCATATATTACTGCATCTAATTTGCAGTGAGGCAAAGGATACTTAAGGAAGTCAAACAAATAGCAAGGACCTAAGCTCATGCCAAAAGCAGCTGGTGGAGTCAAGTCTTGGAAACAGTGGGCAGGGACTCAGCTGGAGGAGCAGCTTGGATAAAAGGAGTTCTCTGAGAGTAGAGAACTTAGGGGGCTTACGGACTACATCTGTGTGCTGTATAATAGAACAACGGGCAGCCTTACCTTTGTCTCCCAGCAAGACATGCGTTAGTCATTCAACAACCATGTGTCTCTTGCTAGAAGCCACAAGCACAGATGAACAGAATCCCCTACAGTCAAATGGAAACCACAGGGAAAAAAAGCCAGGTCCTTACCTTCCAAACTTCCAAGAGCTGTGTAGGTCATCTAGAGTCATGTTTTTTTGGTTGTTTTTTTTTTTTTAACCAACTATTAAAATTGTCTGATTAAAACAACTCCTAAAACTTGAACCATTCCTTTGCTTTGCCAGTGTTCTACAGAAACACTCTGTCACTAAGAGTTTTATGTTGTACAGCAGTTTTGGAAATAAAAAGGAGTTGCATACCTTCGTGGCCACTCATGAGCAAAGGTAAATATGCCTGGTTATAGGAAGAACGTGCAGGCTGGCTAGGCATGACAGACACATCTCCTTTCAAGAAGAGAACCAGATGGTGTAATTGTACCATCCATGTTATTGAACAGGAAACAACAGGTTATTATGCATAGGCAGTGCTGCTGGGCTTTAAGTTCAAGAAGATCACCACTACATCCTAGAATTCCTAATGACTTGCTGAGGTTTGGCAAGTAGCTGATGGTGAATGTCACTCACCACTTATTCCCAAGTGACAATCAAAGGGGAAGAGCCCAGCATTCCGTTAACTCTTTTTGTTGAAACACAATAAACTGTTAGAATTATGTCCTTGTGCCCCTCTGAATTATGAAACCACCAGATGTAGTATGAATTAATGGCCTCAAACAGACACCAATGACTTACTAATTGAGGGATGACTATCTGACTTAGGCAGCAGCTCCGTGTTTCAGTACTTTGAGTGTGTGTGAGTCCAAATTCTACATTTGGGAAAAACCACAAATGTGCAGATTACTGAGGCACTGCCAATATTTCTGGGTTATACTCCTGGGGCAGGGGATAAACACAACACCGTGGAAGCTTGGGTTCTGGCATAGCAAATAGGAGGCTGAACTTGCCTGGGTTGCTGACTGCTTCTTTTCTTGGGCCCCTTTCACTCTCAGGGAAGGTGAGACTCAAATCCCAGCAGCCTCAAGGATTGTCAAGCTGCTGTTCAAGGTTCTTCAGACATCAGGAAGAAATTCGACATGCACTCAACGCCTTTGAGCCCGGGAGAAATATCATCCTTGAGGTCATTCAATTTATGAAGACAATTTTTATTATTTTGTCTGTGTTCTGTTAGAGTCACAGAGGGAGAGGTGTGTAGCCCCATCACACACAACCAATGTGGGGAGAAGCAGCTATTTCTTCTTCACATCTTTGCTGCATTTCAGCTCCCCCAACTACCTCCCTCACCTTGTAAAACTGGCAGGCTCTAAACATTTTGCCTGCTAAAGAAAATCACTGTTTTGCCTCCAGCAAGGAACATAAATGTTGCAACACTGACTCCTCCTCTAATGAAGAAAGAGTGAACAAGTGCACGGAGTTGAGCGTCTTCTCCCAGAGCCACTGGGCTGGGGACAGTGGAGCCAGCGAGCGGAGGCTGAAATCCCGAGACGCGTCTGCTGGGCTGGGCTTCCCCCCCACTTCCAACCCGCCCCCCCTCCGCCCCCCTTGTCTTTCCGTCTTACTCGCTTCTCTCTCCCTCCTTCTGGATTTCACCGGCTGTTCGCGTAACAGCTTTACACACAATGGACCTCCGCGTCCTTTTGCAGGAAGTGCTCACTGACTGACACGGCCGACTTCGCTCCCCCGCAAAAGTGAGTAGCCGCGGCGGGCTAGGCGGGCCCGGGCGCGGGCGCCGGGGCCACGGGTTCGAGGCCGGGGCGCGGGGAGGGCGACGAGGGCGGCCGCGAGCACCGGCCCCCGGAGGAGACGCCGGGAGCCCGCCGAGGGGCTGCGAGCCGCGGCGGCTGAGGGAACCCGGCTCCGACCGCGGTGGCGGGGGTGCCCCTTCCCGGGAGAGCCGAAAACGCTCCCCCGCCCTCTCGCCGCCCCCCGCGCTTCCTACTACTGCACACATTATCGGTCTTTTTGACAGGCATCTTCACATGCACCCCTGAGAAAGAGTTTCAGCGTGGTTGTGCGATTCTCAGAATGTAAATGATTTACGTCAAAACGAAAAGGAAAAATAATGAGGAGAGAGGGAGGGGGCTCAGGTGATGCGAAGCCGCCCGCCGCGGGCTTCTCGCGCCCGCCGCCGCCGCCCGCAGACCGGGTGGGGAAAGTTTAGCGCTACCTGTGCTGGCCTGAAAGGCGTGGCTCCCCCCTAAAGGCAGAAGGGGTGGTGGCAGGTAAGCAGCCCCGCTGCCGTACCCCTGAACCCCGACCGGCGGCGAGGCGATTGGCCTCCGCAAGGGGCATTCGAGCCCCAGAGGCGGCTGCATGAACCTGTGGAAGAGAGGCGTAGGGGGGAAGTCAGGCAAACTCGCGCGACTGGGGAGCCAGATGCCGCGGAGGGAAAAGCCGGAGCTGGAGTTCTAGCTGTGAGTAAGAAAATATCCTTTTAGTGACCTCTGCCTGCATCCCGCGGAAGCAGCGCGCGCTGCGCTAATAAGATTTTCTATGATTGGACTCGATCATGATTACAAACATCATCATTATTCATCTGGAGGGATTAGTTGGTCCTCTTTCAAGTTGACGGGCAGAGATTTCCCACCTGAGTGGGATTGCTGCTAATCCCAGCCCTGTCCCTGGCTGTGCAACCTTGGCCAAGACAATTTAAATTCTCTGTGCTATGTAGGTTTGTTTTTTGTTTTGTTTTGCTTTGCTTTTTTTTTTTTTTTTTGCAGTGTTGAGGGGAATTAATTAATCCATATGTTTAATATCCATTCGTCTATTAAATATTATAGGTGTGTGCATAATGTGTGTGATAATAAATATAGATTTCATGGGGAATTGTGCTGAAACAGTGCAAGGGAGAAGCTGATTAAAAAATTAATTGTAGTGGTTCTTAAAATTTAGGGATTATGGACCCTTTGAGAATTTGCTAAGAGTCCTGGGTGGGGGAGGTGAAGTGTTGATGAAGGTACATAAAAACTCGTAAGCAGTCTCTGCAGGTTTGGGGTCACCCGGAGACTGCCTCCACTCTGGGTGAGCATCCTGTGCCTAAATGAAGCGTTCCCTTGCAGACCAACATAGAGCTCCTCTGGCCAAGCCCTTACCATCACCTGCGCTTGCTGTGGGAGTCACCTGCAGCCTTTGCAGCTCTAGAGTCAGCCAGCAGCTATGGAGCAAAACCTCCTTACACAAATGAGCTCTAGGGACACTTTCCCAAAGGTTTCACCAACCTCTGCGTCCTAGGGAACCCTGCTCACAAACTCTTTAATAACTTTTCTGAGGTGAGCTCTTCACTCTTGGAGTTTTTAGTTCTGCAAATGGCACCAGAGAGCCACCTGCACAGGGTCACTGTCCCCAAAGGAGCCCTCCAGATCACTAGCAAAATGTCACTCAGTGGAGTCAAGGCTTTGTTTTGCAACGGAATGGTATTTACTGGCCAGTACATAGTAGAAATAGTAATGGTATTCTTTTACAAAGCTGTGCTTTTCCTTTAAGGGACTAGGGACTCAAGTCTGAGGCACCTGGATCTTCCATGGGCTATGCCAGTAAGGCTTTGGAGCTTTGTTGCCCAACAGACTGGGCTTCAAATCTTGGTTCCCACACTTCAACAAGTCATTGGACTTCTCTGAGCTTCACTTCTCCTGTCTGTAAAATGAGGAACAGCACTGCCTGCAGCATGACTGTTGGGAGAATGGAAATAGTATTTATATATGTCTGTTTTACAGTCAATGATAAACTGCTACTAATAATATTAATGGTAGGTTGTAAGTACATATTAAATAGTCTCATGCATTTTTTAAAGCCGCTCAGTACTCTCTTATGGAACTTGCGTCAGCAAAAAATGAGTAAAAACAGTTTGGGTCTCATTATTCCCAAAGACAAATTGTTTTTTCAGAATATCAAGCCAGGTTTACTGCCTCATCTCTGCTAAGCTCTGTGCTCTGTGTTGTCAGCAAGGAAAATGTGTCCAGACTGGCATGGATTCCCCACCCTTTCTCTCAGTTCTCTTGGCCCTTCGAACACTAAATAGCTGTCTGTGTGACAAACATCTCGGTACAGAACAGCCTCATGGCAGGGCCATTGCCAGACACATCAGCAACTCTCTGTGTGGAGAAATGTCTCCATTATCATCTTTCAGAGCCAAGCACAGATAGCCTCTCTCCCTGTCCCTGCTACCGCTCTCTTGCTGCCCACCCCCGCCCCCTGTCCTGGTCCCTCAGTGGCTAGAAATTGAAAGAAATGAGCAGAACAGTAAAAGGAAATTGGATACTCTCAAAGCAATGATCAATCCGTATGTTCTGGCAAGGCATCCTTGCATGCAAGGCTGATAACACTGATACCTAGTATTCATTGAGGTGTCAAGTGCTACCTAAATTAATTCTCTCAGCAGCACTGCAAAATATGAATTATCACTTAAAGCTTCACAGATAAAGAAACTGAGACTTACAGAAAATTGCATGACTTGTTCTGTCTGCATAGATGGTAACAGGCAAGAACAGGATCCACCTTCAGATCTGTCTGACTTTGACACTCTTTTTTCCTAATAGCACTGAAACAACACTGAAATCATATTTGTGTATAGTAGTATAAAGATTTCAAGTGGGCAGCATTTTAATTCAGCAGCAGCACTTACACATTATGATCCCCACCACAAGTCCACCCAGCTCCATACACTTGACCCCTTTACCCAACTTACCCATCCCCTCCCCCTCCGGTTACCACCATTTTGATCTCATATTCAAAATTAGACAAAAAATAAACCTCACTCACTGTTTTCCCTCTGCCCAAGTGCTGCCAAGCTCCTTGATATTAGAAAGTTTCATCATTTCCAATGGGTCCCAACTGAGTTCTCCTTTTAAAGACCAAAGATAAGAAAATCTTCTGGATATTTTTAAGTGGTGTGAATGTGTACTTTGCATGTGATCCATATTAATAAGTGGCAACAATGAAATTCCCTATGGGAAATAATTTCCTCCCCAAAGCCCAGCTATTAGACTGAAAACAGGTGAGGCCAACCTCAGTGGTTGAGACTGACCTGGAAGTGAAATAGGTAAAGCAGTAGAGACTCAGGGACGATGAGATGACACGTTGAATGAAATTGAGTTCTCTGTAGAGAAAATTATTGTTTGAATTACACAGTCCTGGACTCTGCTATCTATTTTATACCCATGCCATTAATCATTCCAACAATCTGGTGAGTTAACTAGTTTTGTCTGGATTTGATAGCCAAAGAAAAACTCATGGAGGGTAACCAGTTAACCCAAAGTTGCAGAGATGGTCATTGAAGCCAAGATCTAATACTTTTTGCTAATATAATCATGTGATCTTTGAAATACTCTCTTCTAGGGAGAATAATGAAAGAGCCAGCAAAAGGAATATTTCAAAAATATACAAGATAACTAGTATATGTCTCACTGATGTCCCAAATTCCAGCTGGTATGTCTATACCTGTACTGTACTTACAGGAACATTAGACATATGCAACTGTGGATAAGTGGAATGTGATTAGTTCAAACTGAAGTTGTGATAAGTACAAAATACACTCCACATTTCAAAGAGCTAGGACCCAAACATCAAATACTGCAGTAACTGTTATGCTGATTATATTAAAATAATATTTTCAGTGTATTGGTTTAGATAAAATCTACTATTAATGTTAATTTCATCTGTTATCTTTTGTTTTAATGTGGTAATAGAAACCTTTAATTCTTACTCCCATTGGGTATACTGGTCTAGACTAATAAGGTGACAAAATATGATGGGGAATTTTATTCCCGTCGTCTTAGCATAATGTTTTCCTCTAGCGTGCCTTGGCTCAGACTCCTTCAGAAGTCTGTCCTGAATTTTAGTTATTTAGTAAAACAGTAAACAAGAGAAACTTAAGTCCCTAGAGATCCTTCCACAACCTTACTCTTCAACTGAACAAGTGATCATTAGAAGCCCATTCCACCAGGTCATTATTGATGGAATAGTCTCAGTTGTGACATTCAACACCAGAACCTATTTCCTCACTCGGGCAAATCTCAAGAAACTTTCGACCACCCTATGACCAAATTTGAATCAGGATGTAGTGCTTTGCCTTAAAACTACATGCTAGGATAATGTCTTTGTTGTCGTTTGCATTTCATAAAATCAGAGTAGGAAACAGCCAGGGCTTCATGTCGTATGCAAAGCTCATTAGTCATCTTTCTGTGGTGGTAGGTGTTTCTCCCTCCCTGTCCTTTCACTAAAAGCAGATTGAATCACCTGCAGTCTCAGTTTCCAGAGGCTACTGCAAGGACAGCACACATGGCCTTTTGGGTTTCTTTTGTCCACTAGCTAAAATGGCCCCTGAATTGTCAACAAAGTAAAGATATGATTGGCTCCTGCAGATACGCTTATTCCAAGGCCAGGGCTTTCAGAGGCTGGGGTTAGAGGACACCTCTGGACTGCATCTCAGGAATCTGTGTTTGGCTTTTGTGTGCTAGTTTGTGTGTTATCTTCAACATCCCCAGCAATTCCATAGTAAGTTCACAGCTAATGAGATAATACCACAAAGTATGTTAATGGCAAAATGTGCTATAAAATGTTAACTGTGGTTATCATTGATAACGTGAAGACTGATGGTTTCTGTAGATATTTGCCTGCAGGGAACAGTTTCCTTTCTGCAGCTACAGCCAAGCTCTCTACAAGATGTTTTTTGAGATAAGCAAATGGTATT